ATTCAAATCCTTCTCCTCCCGGTTCCCCAACATGGACTCCTCTCCTCACTTCAGCTCCCACACCTGCAGGTGGGGTGAACCCCAACCAGCCCCCCCATCCCCACGGCGTCAAGGCCACACCTGACCCCGGCCCGTCAAACACAAACCCGAGGCGAAGAGGGTGCACCGAGCAGCTGGCAGGACCGGCCTGGGCCCCTCGGTGCTCGGTAAGAGGGTGATGGAGGGAGACCTCGGCCTGGGTGCCCGGGGCCCCCACGTGGGCAGCGCACCCTCCAGCTCGGCCTCCGAGGGCGCTGGCCACCCCCTCGGCACAGGCGGGGAGCGGGGGGCGCCAGGGGGAGCGGGGCCTCGCCGCCGGGACGGGGAGCCTCCCCCGGGCAGGGCCTGGCCTCGGCACCCGGGGCTCCACTCCCGGCTCTGCCCCTCTCGGTGCCTCCCCGGGAAATCGGGGTGCACAGGCTCTGCCCCCCTCGGTGCCTCCCCGGGAAATCGGGGTGCACAGGCTCTGCCCGCAGGAGTGAGGGGGCGTCACGTGTGCGGGCTCCCCCACCCGCAGCTGCCATTCGCTCCTCGCCCCCACCCCCATTTTATCTTCCACCTCCAAGAGTCTGGGAGACTTACTGGAGGGCAGACCCTAACGAGGCGTTCAGCAGGATTTGGGAAAATGAGAAATAAGGAAACAAGTCAAAGCTGCGCTGGAACCAGCTGAGCTCCGAGCTGAGTCACCGCCAGGCCCCAGGGGCTCGGGCTCCGCTCGCACCTGTAAGCGGGGACCTGCCCTCGCCGAGGTACGGGGAGATCTGGAGCGTGGCCGCCGGGGCCTCGGGGCGGGCGGGGCGGCGGGGCCCGGGCTCGGGCCGGACCCCAGGACGCGGGGTCCGCTCTGCTCCCCGCAGCGGCGTCCCCGGGGCAGGTGCCTCCCGACCTGGGCCGCGGCCTCCTCACCTGCCCAGGGCGGTGCAGGCGCTGCCGACCCGCGTGCCCGGTGCGGGTCAGACGTGACAACGCGGAAAAGCGCCCGGCGTGGTGGCCGGCGGACCCCCGGCTCCCCACGCCCCGTGACGCGCCAGGGCCGCGGGACCCCCGTGCTCGGGGCGCCGGGTGCGGGCCGGCCTCCCCGCGGGGCCGCCCTCAGGCTCGGGCGCTCGGCCCCGGGCCCCACGCCGGCCTCGGGGAGGAGCACCCCAGAACCGCCCGCCCGGCCCCTCGGCGGCCCAGCGCCCGCCGCCCGAGCACCCGCCCGCGAGCGCCCACTCACCGCCTTCTTCATGGTGGCCGCCATCTTGGGACTGGACCACGGCGCGCGGAGGGGAGGGCTGAGCCCGCGCGGTCCTTCCCGGCCCCCGCTCACTCCCTGTGGGCCCACAACTCCCGCAAAATACACCACCGGCTCCACATTCCCTCCTCTTGGGTCTGCGACCGAGGAGAGCGAACGCCTGGACCCAGGGAGGAGATGGGCTCTGGAAGGACTTGGTACGTGCCAGTTAAAGGGACGGGCACCGCCCTGTGCGCCGACAGAAACGGGGGGGTGTGGCGAACGGCCGCAGCTCCAGCGGCGGCCAGCAGGGGGCGCACAGCGCTGAAGGGCGGGGCGGGCCGGACCGGGGCGGGGCCTGGAGGGGATGGCAGGGAAATTCTTTTTTGTCAATCCCACAAATGTACAGAGAAACTGACCTACCTTTCAAAAGGCTAATAACGAATGGCCCTGGCAATAGTACGTGATATTGATGTGCCCCGACAATTCAGACGGTATAGAGGGGGAAGCGCTCCTATTCACCAACCTGTTCAACATTATGGAGCGATTACAGTACAACTGACACGGTGCCTTCCGGTTCCTTTTTGGGCTCAGAATCCCCGCTTGGACCAGCAAAAGGAAGAAGCCTGGGGTACAAATGAGAACAACTGGAGAAAGGAAATTCACCAACAACCACTGGAAAATGCTAACCCCGCGAGGGGTGGGCGTTGGAATTGCCACACGGAAGGTGGTTTAACACATTCCCTTACACCAGGCTGAACCCTGGCCTCCCACTGCCTGCATCCTAGGTGTGAAAATTGCATTTCACTCGACAATATCAAAACAATACTTTGTTTCGCTTGAGCTTGTAAAATCAGAGTCCTGGTGGCCTTGAGCCTACGTTTTGGCGATTGCAGCGGCTGGTGCTGGTGCTGGTGCTGGTGCTGGTCAGGCATGGCCCATTTAGCTAACAGGCCCTCTCCACAGCCCGGACAGATCCCTGCCTCACCCCAAGCTTACCTGTCAGGCCCTACAGGTGTATGAACTTGCACCCCAGACTTCTGTTCTAATGCATCTAAATGAGGAGTTTGGGACGTGCATTTGTTTGTTTGAAATCTGCACCATGTTAGATGCTATTTCAAAAAGGAAGCTGATTTAGTCATGGTACCTTACTGCTGGTACACGCATATCCCCATAAGTCATAGCACCTTCAACTGCAGCCCTAGGACAACTCCTGAGAGGTGTGTGTGTGTGTGTGTGTGTGTGTGTGTGTGTGTGTGTAAGGGGGTCAGGGGGAGGGCAGAGACTGGAGCAGAGGGCAGTGGGACTACAGAAGGGGAAAAAAATAGACAAAATGCCTTGTCCTCATGCAGCTTACATTCTAGTGATGGGAGACATACCATGGTCAAAACATCGAAGTGAATTATACAGTATGTTAGACGGTAATTACCAGCGTGAAAACTCTGTGTGGACGATGCAAGAAATCAAATACTATGTTGATTGAAACACTGAGTGGAACAAAAACTCTATCTGAATTGACATGCAGGCTACAGGATTATCCAGACGTGTCCCAGCTTCATTTAGATGCTGTCACAACACGAGAATGAACCGGAGATTTCATAGCCCTACCTACAGGAGTCTCCCCCAAACTGGCAATGTCTGCGCCAGACGCCAGCTCCCAAGGTGCAGGGGCGCCTGCAGGGGGCGCCCAAGGACCGTGGCAGTGTCCCCAGGCAGACCCCCGCCTGAGGCCACCTGGGTAGATATTTCAAAGTATCAACACAATGATTATTTTCTGAATTATTTTTTAAAATCTGTTTTAAAAACGCAGACTAAATATATTTTAAAACATGTAAAATCTCTGACTTACGGGGAAAACCAATTTCACTTGTTACAGGAACAGATCTTAAGGGGTTTAAATAAGGGAGGGAGGGAGGGAAGTGTGGAGGGAACCTTTAATATCAAATAAAGATAGATGACCATGGTGTGTTTAAAGAAATTGGAGGAAAGGGCAGAAAAGAAAAGAGAAGGTGGAGAAGGGCGAGAGATGAAGCTGGAGAGAACATGGTCCTCCGCCCGCCTCCCACTGTGGCTCTGGAGAGAGGGGAGGGGCGGGTGGAGAGCAGGTTCCCAGACCTGCAGGCCAAGGCCAGGGTGTGAATGCGAGAGGGACAGGAGGGACTGTGCTCCATCTCACTCCACATCCAGCTCCTCACCTTCAGCCAAGTGTTGTCAGGAGGCAACAGGGACCCAGGACCGATGGAAGTTCCCCGTTTTCCTAGAGCCAGTCCTCTGGATCTTTTTAAGTCTTGAGATTTTGAAAGGACTCAAATTCATTTCCAAATAAATCCTAAACCTATGCATGACCACTAGACGGAGAGCACAGGCCACCCATCCATCTGTGACCTCCCCAGGTGCACAGCTTCTGGAACGTTCTTATAACCCACTGTCTTGTTCCTAAATAAAATGGGGGATCCCCTGGGTTTTCTTAAGCAAGCCTATGCAAGTCAGGGACTTTCTAACTGCTGCGAATCAGGGACTGCGTGCCTGGAAGGCGTCCTTCCTAGGCTACTTATTCCGGCCTGTACTTGCCTCCTTCCTGTCTTGTTCCGGGGCCACCAGAGTTTCCTCTGCATCCCTTCAATATTTAATCCACCCTGGAACGCCTTGTCTGGCTATCGCTAACCTCTTCCACCTTTAAATTCTGCCCTTGTTTCGTAGTTGGCACTTTTCTAAGCCATCACTCTATACGCCTGACCGTCTCTGTCTGGTAGTTCTTTTGAGTCTTATTGTGCCGGGTAATGGAAACTGTGTCCGTGTGTATTTGATTCAACAGTTTTGTCAATTGTTTTATCATGGCCCTGTTTGAAATTCTTCCCTGTCTTTCCAGGGCACATGGGTATAATTTGAATTCCTTACCAAAGTCTAGCCCCCTCTCTGACCTGACTTTGTACCACCTTTCCCCTCACTCTCTGTGCTCCCTTCTCTGGCAACGCCGTTCCGTGGGTGCTGCCTGATTCCTTCTGCCCCAGGGCCTTTGCACTGCTCATTCTGCAGCCCTCGATGTCCTTTCTCCTGTTGTTCACGTGGGTAAATTCTACTCATCCTCAACGTTCATCCTCTCTCTCCATCAAGAAAGCTTTCCTTAAATGTATGCACCACCCACAGATAGCATCACCCCCCTTTAACATCCTTGGAGCCCTCCCTAACACATTTATTTTTTAACTCTCTCTGCCCTGTGATACTGGAGCCCCAAGAGAAATGTGCCTGTTTCGTCCTCTCTGTAATTGCAGCACCAATAGGAAGGGAGATAGATGCTTGACAAATATTAGCTAAGGAATGAATAAATACGTGAACGAATGAGACTGTGTATTTAGGGATTAACATGATTATACATATAATACAATGTGGCTGCTGGTGAGTTCACTCAGTAACAATGTGCGAGTCCACAGGGTAGTGTTTCCATTCACTTTTTATTTTTTTTCCTAGATCTGGCACTACACGCCTCACACAAATTGTGATAAACGGTGGACTCCTTGCGGGAATAGCCCCTCCTTCTTTCACCAGGTGGCGCTGTGACTCCAGACGGACGGTTTCCTTTCTCTTTGCCGCCCCTCAGGACCTGTCCGGGCTCTTGTCTACACTGCGAAGCCAGAGGGCACCACATCAGGGAAACCTCTCTCTCTTTGGACCAAAGCATCACCATCTTTTGCGAGTCTGAATTCTTACCATAATGTTTAAAGGCAGAGCATTGCCCAGAGCCCTCGATGTATGCATTGATTCTAGGCCTCTTAAAATAGGTCGTTAACTCACCTGTTTATTTCAAGGTACATGCTTACAGCAATTGTGATATTGAGAATGAGTCAGAACGGTTGCAAGGAGCACTCGAATCATATCTTTGGATCAAAATGCACATTTCTTAGTGTGACTCACTCAACAAGGATTTACTCAGAACCTCGGATGCACCTGCATCAAGCCAGGCCGCCTCTCACACAGATGCTGCTCGGAAAAGGACCGAAGAAGTGGGTGTCTTATGTCCAGGGTGTCCCCAAAAACTGCAGACACAGTTGAACAGCGGATAGCCCAGTTTTGAAAATGAAATGTATTTGAATAAACACTGCCTTTATTACTCCAAGTGTGTGTATACATTTTGGGGAGACACCCTACATTTGTGCTCACCTAGTATCCCTCCAAGTTTTTCTCTACTTGGAAATTTCCAGGTCGCGAGCATTACCCTTCCATTCTAGAAGTCAGAACTCAATTTCCTGGCATCCTTTAAGCTAGGGTGCAGACCTACAGCTCCAGCCAATCAGATTCACCAGGGGGAGACTTTGAACTAAGGGCACAAAGAGGGAGGTGGCAGGTGTGGGGGGCAAGGGGAGGACCCAGTCCTGTGCTGAGGGCAGCCTGGCCGAGGGAGCTTGAGTCCCTGAAGCAGCAGGAAGAGAGGTCCTCAGGGGAGGCCCTGGCCTCGGTGACTCAGGTCCGGAGGTGCCGAGACCCCAGCAGTGAGCAGGCCTGCACGGTCATTCAATGTCGCCCCTAGAGGTTTGCCTCCAGAGCAGATAACCCAGCCCTCACTAAGGGCCTGTGCACATCCCAACCCCCTCACCCCATCCTGCTGCCGCTGCCCCTAGCTACAGGGAGTTATGTTGTTGGACACAAAGAGCCCTAAAAAGATGTTATTTTTAGGGGGAAAAGTAAGTTATTTCTTTTAGAATAACTTTTTTTTTTTAGAGAAAGTAATTCAGCCAAGACAACCAGGAAATTCTATCTGCAGAGGTGAAATTCTATCTGAACAAAAAATCATCCTTACTACGTTGCCACCTCACACACCACTACCACTATGGACGGAGCGTATTTTCAACGCTTTCATTTTATAAGTCACATAGTCAAGTAACCTGGAGGCTGCATCGCGGTCAAATTGACACTGAGTTTAATGAAGACATGTAGGCTGACGGTGTATCAAAATCACAACGAAGCCACAACACCCCCAAAACAGCCCGGCCCCCACCAGCGGGGAATCAGCCAGCAGGGAGGACACGAGCGGATGGAAAGGACAGTCATCGGAAGAGAGAAGTGACGGTACCTCAGCCGCTGCAGGCTGCTCGCAAAGTCTCAAGGGGCACCACGGCTCCTCTCTTTGGAGACGCCTGGTTTGTTTTTGGTGCTGAGGGAAGGATGAGATTGAAGACGCACGGGAATCCTTGTCGGCCATCACTGCTGGTCCTGTGGGCTTTCTCTGAGCAGAACACCGCGCAGGCACCGAGGCCGAAGGGGGAGTAAGGAGCAGCCCCGGCCTCGCTCTGTCGCCAGGAAGACGCGTGCTTGTTTCCCGACTAATTCTCCTCCTGGCCACCTGTTCTGAGGAAACAGGTCTAAATCCAGAAATGAGCTATTTATACAGGAGTCATTAAAGCGGAGTTTACAGAGATGGAGCATTTGAACTACTCGAAGGGCTCAGAGAGGCCAGGTTCATGGCCCAGAGACTCAGTTACCACATGCCAGTCTGGAGAAGTGGTGATGCGAGGAAAGATGCTGAAAAATAGTAGGATGCAAAATCCCGATGTCCATTTTGTTCTTAAAAAGCATCTCTATAAAGGGAGGGCAAAAGTAGAGTTACAGTTGTTCATAAGGAAAATAATTATCAATAATACTGTTAATGCAATAAAGTGTTTCGTGTACTCATAACTGTAAACCTACTTTTGCCCCTATAGATATAGATGGATATACTTAGAAAAATGCAGGAAGGAAATATAGAAAAATGTTAATATATAACAGTAATTTTATATCTAGGTGTCAGGATTTAAAGGTGATTTTTTACTTCCATCTTTATAGTTTCTACATTTTTTAAAAGTGAGCATGGATTACTGTTTTATTCATATAGAAATGAATATTAATGTTAACTTACATGCAGACATGCAAGATGTAATGATAAGTGATAAAGCAAGCTATGAAGTAGACACACTGTGATTCTAAATAGAATTTTAAAATCGTCCCATAAGCTATATAGGAAGAACTATACAAAACTATTCTTAGTGGTTGTCACTGAGGGACAGGAGATGCAATTATTTTTTTCTTTTCTGTACTTCCTCACATTCCCTTTCATGTTTAGGCATTACTTTACTAGTATCTGGGAAACTTCAAGACATGGCTATGCTACCACCCTTCTCAGTGAGGAGAAAGTTAGATAGTTCTCACATTCCACCAATCGCAGGAGCTCACCCATCGGAAGCAAAGGGCTTCAATCTACATAGTTCCCCAGAATTACTGTCGTAAGACTCATAGAAGAAACAAAAAGCTCCCTGAGGTATAAACAGTTAACTGCCATTTTTTTAAATTTCTGTAAATTTAATCTTTAATGTGATGACACGCATCTCATAAAACATGATTTCTCTGAGAAATCACATTGATTTACTTAATCTGCAAATATGGGTGTTGTAGAAATTATAACACCCACTTAACCTGTCACTAAATGTATGTACTTTTTAAATAAGGAACATATTCTATAGAGCGATGTAGAAATATGTATATAGAGATGATAGATAGATAGATAGATAGATAGATAGATAGATGACAGATAGATAGATAGATAGATGATAGATAGATAGATAGATAGATAGATAGATAGATAGTCTCTTGTTTGTAAAAAAATTTCAGACTCACTGAGTCTTGTTTGTTCCAATACCTGCCCAGAATGAAGGGTGCCTCTGGCAGATTCAAATCCCACACAGAACAAAGCTTCGCTCTCCCGCACACTGAAGTTTAGAGGGAGCTGCTTTTGTAGGTGTGCATGTAAGTGAAAGCACATCGGTAAAGTGTCTTGTTCATATATTTTTTAAGTTGCCAAGGAAGACCAGAGAAGTACTACAGTACTAAGTTTGGGACAGAGTGTAGCTCGGATAAATTCTGCGTTGGTGAAGATTGAAAAAAGAAGAAAGGTCGAGACTATAATATAGGGTGTCCCCCAAAAATGTATACACACACTTTGAATAATGATAAAAGCGGTGTTTATTGAAATACATTTCGTTTTCAAAATTGAGCTGTGAGCTTAAAGTGCATATGCATTTTTGGGGGGACACCCTGTATGAGCACCAGGTAAGGACCTCAGACTGAGGGAGGGGTGAGCCGGGCCCGTGGAGTTAGGTTGTGGAGGGCTTGGAAGCCACAGGAACCAATTTGTACTTTATTATTCAGACAAAAGGGCTAAGTTGACGGTTTGGAGGAAGAAAGTGACCTGGGCACAGTAAGCCCTGGGACCCTGGGGAAGGTCAGCACCGGCCCTGACTAACCATTCATGACTCAGGTGTCTGGGCCGGGGCCTCCTGGACCCGCCCTGCCTGGGTAAGCCTGCGGACAGCACAGGAGTCTGTGTCTCCTGTCGCAGGGTTATCTGAACAGCTCTTATCACATGCTTATCTGTCAGCACTTTCACTGTAGCTTATGTTGTGATGGGTTCAAGTTAATGGTTGAAATCCTGGGGCTCCATCTCTGAAGATCTTAATTCTAAAGGAGCCACCTTCTGCTGGAAACGCTACCTAGCAGTTCTATTTAAAACAGAAGACAAGAAAACAATCGAATCCTTAGGCACCTTTTTTAAAAATCTCTAATTCGTACCTAAAGGGACAGTGCTTCCTGTCCAAGTATACCATACTGAAGACCACCCATGACTAAGTGATTGAGAGATGTGTGGTTGAATTTCAGAAGGGATTTCCTTTTCTGGTATGTACATAATATTCAATCACATTTTTCTCTTTAAAACAATTCTATTGCTTGTCTCTGGGTGGTATGATCGCAGGTGAGTTTTGTTGGCTTATTTTAAGTTTTGTCGCATTTCCTAACTGCCAGGCCTGAGCTGTGACAGCTTCAGTTCTTTCTCTGAGTCCCAGGTAAGCCTTCCTCCAAAATTGGTGACTACTTGATGGGGGTCCGATAATCCAAAGGCCACCCACCGGCTGTCCACAGGCTTACCCAGGCGGGGCGGGTCCAGGAGGTCCCGGCCCAGACACCTGAGTCATGAATGGTTAGTCAGGGCCGGTGCTGATCTTTCCCAGGGTCCCAGGGTTTACTGTGCCCAGGTCACTTTCTTCCTCCAAACCGTCAACTTACCCCTTTTGTCTCAAGGGCTCTTTAGACCAGAAGGGAGATGCCTACCTGCCCCCACACTGAGATAACATTGTTCTCCGGAGCAAAATACACCAAGCAGTTTCAAAACTTCCATGCTGCCTAAAGCTAAGCAAGGAGGCTTCGCTGAGATCACTTGAAAGAAAAACGCTTACTCATTGCAAACCCACCTCCATTTAGGTACTTGCTCTGACTTGGTCCCTAAGATTTGGAGTAGACGCCTGGGAGAAGTCAGAGAGGCCGTTGGTACCCATCCGCGTGCACCATTTATTCTGAATGAGAACCAGTATGACTTTTGTAAACGAATTTGCGTCTTAAATTCAAATGCCTAAGAGACACCAACGGGTTTATGTTCACCCAGCAGTTTGAGAAGTAAAAATACCTAAGCAATTTGAGTCTTAAGAATTCGGAAGCAAGAAGGCGATTCAGATATCCTGATGGAATGTGGTGATGGCCAGAGGAGAGGAGGTGGGGGGAAAGGGGGTTCTAATGTATGGTGACAGGAGAAGATTTGACTTTGGGTGGTGGGCACCTGGTACAATATACAGATCTTGTAACGTAGAAGATTTTGTCCCATAGAAATCCATACCTGAAACCTATATGTTCATGTTGACCAATATCACCCCAATAAGTGTAATGTAAATAAGTAAATAGATAAAATAAAAATCTATAATAATAAAAGGGTAATATGCTAATTAGATCAGACGTCCTTGGGGATGACCTTCCGGATGAAGCCAAGGCTGCGAGGGAAGCCCAGGTCCCAGGTGCCAGAGGGAAGCCGGTGCCGGCAGCCAGGGGAAGGAATGCCTACTCTTGCACGAATTTCGTGCATCAGGCCTCCAGTAAATAAATATAAACAAATGTCAGCTGGCATTTGAAGGACGCCAGCCTACTGCTGCTCTAAGTGGCAGTGCCTGCGGCCCGGTGGTGGGCTTCTGCTTTGGAACCCCTCCACGTCCCAGTTGGCCATCAGCCCCACTTTTGCAAGCCTCTGCCAAGTGCCAGGTA